TTTCTTTTTTTTTTTTGAGATAAGGTCTTGCTCTGTCACCCAAGCTGGAGTGCAGTGGCACAATCACAGCTCATCACAACCTTGATCTCTGGGTTCAGGTGATCCTCCAACCTCAGCTTCCCTAGTAACTGGGACTACAGGCCTGTGCTACCACGCCCGACTAATTTTTTGATTTTTTTTTTTTGTAGAGATGAGGTCTCTCTATGTTGCCTAGGCTGGTCTTGAACTCCTAGACTCAAGCAATCCTCCCACCTTGGCCTCCCAAAGTGCTAGGATTACAAGTAGGAACTACTGTGCTTAGCCTTATACACATTGTTGTTGTTTTTTTTTTGGACTCAGAACCTCACTCTGTTGCCCAAGCTTGAGTGCAGTATCACACTCACAGACACTGCAGCCTCGACCTGCAGGACTCCGGTGATCTTTCTGCCTCAGCTTTTCAAGTAACTGGACCCACAGGTGCACATCACCACACCCAGCTAACTTTTTGATTTATTATAGAGACGAGGGCTTGCCAAGTTTCCCAGGCTGGTCTCGGAACCCTGGGTTCAGACAATCCTCTTGCCTTTACCTCCCAAAGTACTGGGATTATAGGTGTGAGCCACTGTGCCCAGCACATTTTTTAAACTTCACATTATATGATATAATTTATTTATATTTTATTGACCTCCTGGGCTCCATCCACCTCAGCCTCCCAAGTAGCTGGGACTATAGAACTATCAAGTCCAGCTAATTAAAAAATATATTTTTTTTGTACAGACAAGGTCTCACTGGGTTGCCACCTTGCCCTTCCAAAGTGCTGGGATTGCAGGTGTGAACCTCCATGCCCAGCTTATGAATAGTTTTTAAATGAGAAATCATATAATCACATATATGAGCTCAGGAGGTCAAAGCTGTGGTGAGCTGTGATTGTGCCACTGCATTCCAGCTTGAGTGACAGAGTGAGACCTCAACTCAAAAAACAAAGCAAAACAAAACCTAGTCATTAAATAACAACAAAAACATCCTTTACAGTTATAAATGTTCATTGTTGAAAGATGACTTTGCTAGTTAGTATAAAAATGTTTTTTAAACCGACTGTATATATTTTCTTTCCCCAATACTGACCCTTCCACCTCAGAATGATAGAATTCCAGAGTGTTAAAGATGGAACCTCATGATTGCTCAGGTCCCTCTATTTTTGTCTGTAACAAGGAAACAAACCCATAGAGGAAGGGCAAGCAGATGGAGAAAACTAACATTTACTGAGCTCCTACAATGTGTCCTGGCAGACACTTGAGTCACTGAAGTATTCATTCTGTAGGCCAGCAGATCTTTTTTGTAGTATGTTCTATGTGTCAGGGACAGGGCTAGGCATTATGTATGGAACAGTAAACAAAGCAGACATTAACACTGCTCTTATGGAAGTTCAGAGGCTAGTGGGGAAAGCATATGCTGAAGATGTACATGAATAAATACTCTTAATTGTTAAGTGCTCTGAAGGAAGTGAACAGAATCTGTGTAAGAGAATAACTGTGAGAGGAAGGGGTGTTATCAGTGAAGGTTTCTATGATGAGGAGTCATATGAGCTGAGCCCTGCATGATAACAACAACAATAATTCATAATAATAATAATCATGAGTCTTGTGATAGGTAGGTCCTGCCATTATCATTTTATATATGAGGAAACAGAAGCACAGAGAGGTTAAATAACCTGCCCAAGGGCACACATTGGAGGATGAGGAGTCAGATATGCAAAGACCATGAAAAAGAGCCTTTGGAGGTACCGTGAATAGAACCTGCTAAGACCTTAGACGTGAGAAATGCAACCAAGGTATGCACACATGCATGTGCTCATATTTTGAGAGCACTTCTAGATGGCCAGTGTGGCTAAAGCCTGAGGAGCGGGTGGGGGAGTGGCAGTAGATGATGTTGCAGAGGTAGGCAGGGACCAGATCATGCAGCGCTTTTTTGCATGTTGCAGGGAGTTTGGATTTTATTCAAAGTGTCACAGGGTCCACTCATTGAAGGAATTTAAACAGGAGGTAATATGATCTGATCTGAATTTTCTTATAAAAAACTAACTTGTTTGTGAAGAACAGGTTGGAGTAGGCATGAGTACAGAAAGTCAGTTTGCAACCTATTATAATATTTCAGGTGAGATGTGATGGTCTTTTGCTGATAGTGGAGATGAAGAGAAGTGGGATGGTTTGGAAATTTATATTTTATAATGGTTTCATTGAAATAGAACTCACTTTACATAGAATTTGCCATTTTAAAGCGTACAATTTTGTGGTTTTTAATATAGTCACAGTGTTATTCAACTGTTACCACTAATTCAAGCACATTCCCATCACCCCCAAAAGAAACCCTATACCTCTCAATTTCCCACTTGCCCCATCTTCTGCCAACCACTAATCTACTTTCTGTCTCTCTGGATTTGCCTGTTCTGGACATTTCATATAAATAGGTTCATACAATAGTGGTCTTTTATGTCTGGGTTTGTTCTCAGTATAATGCGTTCATGGTACATCCATGTTGTAGCATGTATCAGTATTTCATTCCTTTTTATGGCTTAATAATATCCCACTTTGTGAGTTTTGTTTATCCACTCATTAGTTGATGGACATCTGAATTGTTGCCATTCTTTGGCTATTATAAATAATGCTGCTATGAACATTCATGTCCAAGTTAGTTTTTTTTCCTCCCCAGTAGAAAAAAATGTTTATTTCTTTAGGTTAGTTGTAGATTTGGTTCTTTCAAAAAGTAGGACCCTTAGTTCCTGGTGGCTCAGATCACAAACCCTCTTACATTGAGTGTGGTTGAGTCAGTTTCAGTGTCCAAGTTTTTTTTTTTTTTTTTTTGA